AGTAGGAAATGGCTGTCCGGAAACAGCCAGAGCGCCACGATAAGTTGGTGAGATATGTATGTGTACATATATATCGATTGAATATTTATTACAGTCGAGGATATTTTGTTGCAGTTAGAGTTTATACCACATTCGCGTTAGTAACCTCTTTTATTTTTGTGCATTATACAGCTAGATAATGTCCGAACAGTATTCAGTTAAAACGAGTCTTAAATAAAAGAGGGACCGAAATGTTCAATACAATCATCTTAATTTTTCTCTATATCACACAGGTTGTATACTATACGATATTTACGTGTCTGAAGGTGTCATCTCAGACCAATTACTGTTGACGCTCAGCCGTTTCGCGATCTAAAACATTGCGCCTACGACCCCGAATCCACAAATAACACTCTTCGTTTTTTTCCTATGCTCGGCATGTTGATGTACACTAGAGGCCACGAAAAGAATAACATGACCATACCTCGACACTGCTCAAGCAAACAATCGATAAATATAAGCAGTACATAAATTAAAGGCTCATATAGTGTAGAGAACGAGGCAAATTTGCACGGACGGAATTAGAGTTAAGCCTAGGCACTCCTAGTAGTTTGTCTCTTTTACGCAGCGCTATGCCTTTCACTGGCAGGGTGAGCTATTGCTAGATACTTTGAAGACTTACCATATCAATATATCAAGATTTCAACGGACAGCATGGTCATATAGAACTAGAATTGTGTGAATACACTGACTCAACATCGTAGATGTTTTGCCAAAGATACAGTTGTTTATAGAGCCTGCTTTCGATCAAATTGGAGGCACGACCTGCGAGCTCCTACAATGTGTCCGGGTATAGGGTCGAACTCGGAGGCAGAGATTGATTTGGTCTGCTACTAGCGCCAATCCGTGAGACTCTTCTAGCAATATTTTGGCGACTATCAGATTCTGTAATTGCATCTAACAAAATACAATACTCAAGTGTGTGTTACTTCTACTGCTATATATATATATATATATATATATATATGGGTGTGTATGTGATGCGCTTCAGCTTTTTGGTGCAGAGCCTTGAACACGCAATCCCTGAAGGACAAGTGGAATGTTGAGCGGTTTTCTGAGAACACCTGTATTTCTCTGATCTTATTGTTATTCAAAGTGATATTAAATTCAATGCACTGCCAGGATCATTCGAAAATGTTAGACTAGTACATATATATACATAGTAGTGCACAGATAAACTACAAATATCAGTGCGGCCCCATAACAAGCTAATTTCGTATATCAGTTATAGCTCTGTTAAGCTACAATTGGACATTAAGCTTTAAAAAATAAAAATATAGCTTTTTCATGTATATACTTTGTGGCACAGGTGTAGAATATGGGTTGTCAATGCACAAGACTCCTTCATCTCGAAGCATATGGTTCATTTGATCGTTGGACAGCAATGTTCACAAGTCACTAAAACTTCAATGGCATAATAGTTAGAATTGAAAACTTCATTCACTAATCACTATCTGTGGCTGCGTACAGAGAAAATGCAGTGCTTACAATTAGTATGCTATCTGATTCGGTTCGGGGTGCTTTATTCGAATAAAGCTGAACTTCAGAAAGATACTGAGCTAAAATGCCTTCATCTACCCAAATACAATTATTGCCTAACTTCTTAGGCCAGTAAAAATCAGGATCATGTGATCCAGAATGATTCAACGTACCCTCGGTTAAGTTTCATCTGATGTTCGAAACAAAGGCTCCCTCAAGCCTACGAAAGACCCTAAAACGATTTTTCGTGGATTCTTAAGGCTTCAACGGAGTTCCTATCTGCGGCTTTACTTGCAATAAACTATCGACTGTTCGGCCAAGCTGTAGATCTAGTTCTAGCCAAATTAAAATTAGATTATGCCGGGTCGAAGTAACTGACGCCGATTATAGCTTGGCGGCTTTCAGACATTCTGGTTATATCTGGCTGAATCCTTTCTGTTTGAGCTAAATCTGAGTAACACGCACAAATTATGACGCCTTGTGAAAATGCTTGTAGAGAAAGGACCTTAATGACAATAGGTTACCACTACTGTGGTTACCGGCGCAAAAAGACAAAAAACTGCGTGAGTATTCTAAGCGAAATTCACTATTTCGCCTATCAGCTGAGCTTGAAATCATCTGTATACTTTTTAGAAGCCGACAAGGTTTATTTCAGTCGATCGCCATTGATTTGGTGCACATTTACTCCAAGCCACGAGAAACAGCGGCAAACTATACATACGACGGAAGGGTAAAGTATATGCTATGTTTATTATTATTATTATTTTTCCTTTATTATATTAAAAAAAACGCAATAGACTAGACTCTTTGTGGATTTTTTTTTCATAGATTTTGACGATCGACGCGCCTCCGTATTTTTCTGGGCCAACTGTTACGTTGTGTGAACAGTTACTCAAGGACAGTTAGGGATCGTCTTACTCGCGTGAGAATCCCAGGTTTTTCTTAATAATCATATTGCAAACTGACTTATAAATTTAACAGCTCCAAGGTACTTTTATGTTATCTTAGGTGTTTGTTGATTATTATTGACAATTTGATTATTAACGGTATTACCGGACGCACGGCTCTGGTGTTGGTTTTTTTTTTTACTGTACTCATAGAGGCGATTTTGAAGGACATTTCAAAATTGCAGTCGTCTCATTTAGCTCTACAGACTTAATATAATCTATTATGTTATGTATTACACCTGCGTCGTACTATTCAAGTGTTCATTAACATTAAGTCCGCTAAGTTAAAGTTCTGCGACAGGATTGGTCTTAAGGCGGGGCGTGCTCACCTATAATAGATATATCGCCTGTTTTAGCTGCATTGTACTATACAGGTTAAAACCAACAAAAAACCTAATATAAATAAGATACTATTTGGCGAAAATAAATCTCATTACATTGTAAAGCTATGTCTTTCTAAGATTTATTTTATTGAAAATTTTAGATTATATGGTCCAGCTCTCCTTGAGCGTTCTTCTGTCTCTATTGGCTACACGTACGAAAGACACCAAACATCAGATGCTCTAAATAACAATACATGTTAATGGTTTATATTTCAGTACGACGTGTACAGCATGCCATATCTCCTAGCTCCGTTTTGCGACACATCCTTCTCTGTAACCCCAAGATAAATTTCTGTCCACAGCAATGGCGGTGTCCTGCTTGAAGTTATCAAATCGACAATACAGGTTCCTTTTCTGGTTTCAGAGGTAAGGCAAGACCTCGATTATTTTATTCGACAACTAACGGGATCTAGCCTAAATATGCTTAAATACGACGAGCGTAAATTTTATCCAGAAACAAGTATCTTGCAACAGTTTCGCCTGCTATAGCCAGCTAGCAATGAGAAGGAAAAATAATCATCTTGACGACATAGCTGTACGCTTCACCAATCCTACAAATACTGTGTTTATATCGATCACATATTTCTAGCTAGATAGGTTGACTATTTGTTTTGGCAGTCCTTCGTTGAGTCTGGGATCGTCGAATTTTCCGCGCTTACGTGCACAGTTGAAGTTTCGCTGTGGGCTGCTAGTCTGACCAGCATACAGCTTCGTACCGTATGTTGTTGAGCAGGCAAACTAGCACGCCAACAAAATCGCAACTAGAAAAACTGATGGAAGCGACAAACACTACTTATTTTAGATACAAAGGAAAACAAAGTTTTGCACAAAACTTATGAAAATGTCTTCGAAAAATTCGATTTGACTGGATCGCACGCGTCAGCTATAGTATATAAACCCTATTAATTGTACAGCGAAGGTAAATATCGCTTTACGTTTATTATAAAAGCGGGTCAAAACACGAACGATGTGACCCTTCTCAAACAAGATTCACTTGGAATTAAGGCGAGTTTTCCAAACGTGGGCCAAACGATCAAAATCTTTTTGTTTTTATTGGAAAAGTGGACCGAAGAAACAGCGAGGCGTTTATTACTTGATAAACAATTTTTGCCATGGATCAACATTTTCGCTAATTGTATGACTTTATCAGTTCTGTAGAAATGAGCCGCGTTGAAAAAGCTAGTTCGGTATGTCTGTGTGAGAGTACGTTACCATTTCATCGTGTAAATAGTTAGCAACTTTTATTTTGAAATTTTTTGCATATGTGCTTTTCAGGTTGCGCCATGCTGGCGCTATGATAGCCTAGTGGGTAACGTATTTGCGCGATAGTCTTAGGGACGCGTTGTGGTGTGGGTTTGAACCCGGGCATAGAAAGACGTTGTTTCGTGCTGGAAACCACCCATCTGCCTGATATAATGCCTAACGACGACACTCTCAAAAAATATTATGCAAGCTTGACTGATTCCAAGAATCCGATGCTACAGATCTGCTATCGAGGTGTCACTCATTTCTAAATGCACAACGCTAGCATTTTATGTAATAAATGAACCTATATTATAACTGAGAAGTTTGACTAGTTCCTTTACGTAATTTTATGGACGTGAATCAACCGGTCAAGCCTCAACAATGCACATACATTAGTCCACGTTCGGTTAACTGACTGAATCGTGGCCTCTAGATTAAGCGCCACAATTCCTCAGCACCAACAATAAGACTTCACAACATTCGTCTCTAACTTCAAATTTAAACAGAATATCGATGTTTTCGATAAAAAGACAGAGGCTAATAGCAACTGAAGGACCACTTCACTTCCCAATACTGAAACCCGGGTCAAGGCAGCAGTAGTAGAAACGGCCTTGCATTATCGCCTGCGTCTTCTTTTTACAACATAGTATGTAATTTACGCATAGAACTGGCGTCTCATTATAATCCTATAAGTAGCTTTTCTGGGAGATGACCGCACTTCCTCGTCTATATTCTGAGCAATGTTGAAAATCAAGATCGACGCATGTAAAAGCTAATCGGTTAAGCTTGCTTCAGCTTAGCATTTCCAGCTCTGCAGTGGTAAAACGATGACGAACCCAGAGAAATTGATCCAACTATAATTTGTCATACAGTGTTCCTAGTATTATACATCAAAGGAATCATTTACCTTCGTTTCATTTTTCCGATATTCCTTGTCAATGACTGGGCCAATTTTATTCAATGGCATGGCTGACCATCCTAGCGAATAGTCGATTCGATCAGGAACAACGAACGACCTGAAAATTGCAACTGGATTAGTAGAAGGCCATGCTTACTCATCAATAATGTGGATATCGTTGAAGGTCCTGTATATGAACCGAAAGGATCCCCTACACGGTGGAGGTTTTTCATTTAAAAAGAATACTTAATATAAAGGGGTTTTTCTATGACAAAGTTTTCAATGTTAAACATCTTTGTTATATTAAAATCGCACATGGTGTTAGAAGACGCCAGTATCATGTCCTGTCCTATTTAAGGCTCCATAATAATAACGATAATAATACCTTGCATGGGAAATTGGTCTGAATAAAAAAGAAAAACGATATTTACGATACATGAGATTACTGGCAAGATTGACACAATGCCTCAGGACTATATTGGATGCAAAACATTTAAGATAACTAAAATAAGTAAATTCGACATAATTTAAAATCGCACAGAAAATTTAATGGGGTATAGTTTTAAGCACACCTGATGGGCTGTTTTCGGTCCCAAACAACGTTTTGCGACTACTACCAAGCTGAGAGTGGGTTAAAAGTTTGACCCTTCAAGCCATGCGACTGGAACCTCGTAATGATTACTGTCCTTTTAAGTAACTCCTTGTAAATCAACACAATAAGAGCCATCGGATATCAACACAGGGAGAATTTGCACGAGGAACCATTCAAACCCTGCCATTAATACAAGATAAAAGTTTTGCATAGATCAATCAATCGTGTAATCAATGTCGGTTTTCTATTTAATAGTAATTCGAACCATGAAATATAATTTTGCTTTAGTAAAAATACAAGATCTTATTTACCAATAGAATAGTTATTAAGAAAATTATTGAGTATGGTTTTCGATCCCAGTCCCCTGCAATCCGTTCTCTACATTGTGCCCCCAAATGAAACGATATCATCTAGCCAACTATTGATCTATAAACTATAAAATCTAACTATTAAGTTTACTTTATTAGTTTATATATAGAGTAAAATATTCACGTCAAGCATAGAACGACTATGCGATTATGATTTACGCGAAGCTACGCCTTCGACTATCGTGACGTGATCCTCTGCTACGTATAGTTTACTCTCAAAACGAGGGGCAAGATTTCGGGTCGGCCGGGGACGTATAGATACACATAATGATGTAATAACCTTTTTTTATCTACTTGAAACTATTATAAACGAACCCTTAGTCTTCGAAGGTTACTCGGGGGACTGTTCAAGCGGAGACGCACGGTCTTCACCGGTAGCCGAACTGTTTTCAGCAGCTGACTCGAGAGCCCACTGTTGACATTTTTCTGTGTTCTTTTCTCTCAGCATAGCTGACTTCTAGAGATAGCTTGATGAATTATCTCCTGTATCATGTCTTGATGGCGCTTCCTTCGAATTCGACGGGGACACCTTTATCTGTTATTATTTAGTAACCTAAAAAACAATCAGTCTGAACAATTCATGATGGCATATATAGATTGTATTACAATGAAACGTGTTAAGGGGATGAGCTTTTTGTACTAATGTGCCTGGGTGCATATTTGCTTTAAATTGTTTCTAGTGAAAGTCTATATCAGTCTTTTCTGATGCGCTGTCAAATGAATCTATTCAAAACAAGATTTTCCTTCATCGTTCAGGTGATACGCACCGATCTACGTTTTCGTGCGTGATGTATTCGGCTATTTTGGTTTTTGTCCTGTTCGCACTTCATCAATATATCGTTTAAACTATACGGAAATTCTGAGTATTTGTCCATGTAATTAGGCATAATTTCTAGATTTTGACGAATGCACGAACCGTATTCGATGTGTTGTTTCCAAGTTTCCTATTGACCGAAGTCCGCCATGTTTGTTCATAGATGTGTAGAGAATACTTGATTTGTGTTTTTTTTTTTAAGTTGTAATGTCTTGTCATAATATTTATTTCACATTGATATCTAATTGTATTAAGAAGATCTTCTTCCGTTGTTTCATATTGAATTCGTATGTGTACGGTACACATATTGATGTTTTGTTAGTGCCATATTCATATTTATATATGTTCTGTCATGCCAATTATAATGCCATGCAAAAGTACCTCATAATTTCTGTATTGTACTGCAGCTTATTGTCAGTGGTCATTAACTTAGTGAGAGACGTGTTGGGCAGAACGAGTGAAACGATGGTATCGCGAGCAGTTTGCCGTTTGGACCCCTGTGGACAGTGTGAGCGAGTTCAGCGTCCCGGTCGTCCGATTCATCAATCCACAACCGTTGTACTGCCGCTGTCACCTTGAATCTTCCGTTAGTTGCTGTTCGCCTCCCACACGTATCTCTCACATAGATTGATACCGGTTACGTTATAAAAGCACCGAATCTTTGCCTGCCCACCACTTTTGTCGCAGCTTCTCTTGTTATAAAACCAGGCTGACGCTGTCCACGCCCACGCCATGACCTAAACGCATCCAGGCTAACGTAGACATTACGCTGCCGCAGGACATCTCACAATGGCCAAAAATATCTTCTAAAGTCCCCTTACGCCGGTATGGATGCCGCGGCCGTTGTAAGCGGTAGTTGGACCAGCCCAAACTCTCGTGTATGCGCCCATAACCAAAGTGTTGCCAATTACTTTAGCACTAGATAACTGAATGTTGTGGATAATCGATGGGCAGTCAATGAATAGCACGTTCAACCACCATTTACCTCTATCTCTCCATAACCGAATCACTGCATTGGACGTATAAGTCACTGCTGTCTTTAGTGTGAAACACCATCTAGAAGAGCTGAACAATGACAGGCTCACAAGGAATAGACAAGCGGAATGCGCGCCACGGCAACTTCAGCAAGTCTGAGCTCACCCCCGTACTGGCATAGGCGGACATCCTGAAGGTATTATTGGCTGCTTCGAGATGTCCTACCCATTACGTAAACTTGAGCATCAGAACTTCCTGTAACGTAATAATAGCGAGCAACGTCAGCCTGTTCCTATCAAAGGAAGGACTGACAGAAACCGGATGTAGCCAGCCTATGACGCATCTACTAGTACGAGCGCATCCTGGGAATGTTAGTAATGGCGGCAGGAGGGTTTCTTGTAGATCAATGAATTAAATGACAAGAACAATGAACTCACTCGTATGTCCAACGGACCTGACTGCTCATGGGACCGTTGGACGTCTCATTCGATGCGCCCCTTTCCAGTATGTCGATGATCGCTGACAATAGCGAACGTCAGAATTCAAAAACATTTTCTGTAACTTCAGTAGACAAATGAAGCTGTACATAACAGCATTAGAAGACGAAACATGCATAAATCACATCGATACTTGTGTATTTGGACTTATCAACTTCCCCGCAATGCAACAATAAAATACGAATATATGAGCAAGCCATTTATTCCAGATTAACAGGTATTGATTTAATCATCCCAATTCACGGTGTCGGCTTTGAAGCAATCTGCGTGGAATGTAACACCGTTTTTTCCAGTGTTCGAAATATTTCAAACTCAGTCTGGTCAGCAATTTTTCTACTATATCTTCGATCGTGTCGAAACTTTCGTCGCTTCTCAAAGACATTCTACAGCATCCGCAGAGTATTTATGCGATCGAATCCCTTTTGCCACACAGAAAATCTTATGGACGCTCACTGCTCCATGAGAATTTCAAAAAGGTAAGGGGCACTCAGTACGTGAACGTACTCAATCATCTCGTGACGCAGAAATTTAAACGAACGCGTTACTTTTTGAACAACATAATAATCTGGGAGGCTGTACATGTACAGAGCAAACATGAACACTTGGTACAGATACCAGGATTTTGTAAACGAGAAAAATCAGCATGCTTATCACAGATGTGCTGAAATACAAGCATAATTTAAAGGATAAATAGGTAAAATGCCAATAAGAGGTAGTATTCGAAAAAGTTGGATACGGTCAAAATCATAGGCACAAGATGGCTTGAATCACTATGGCGTTTCGTCAATATCATCTGAAGAATCAAAGACAATGCTAATCTTGCCTTTAATAAATCCCACATCACAGAAGACTAAAATTGATAATGTAATGAAACGCACAGCGATTCGGGTAGATACGCACAATGGGAAATTAGTGCGATCCACGTAACGTTACTTGAAGAGGTGTCGCTCCTAGAAATCAGATAGGCTTAGGCGGACACAGAAAAGCGTGAACGGTTAAGGAGAGAAAAGAGGCCCACCAACGTAAAGTTAGGGAGCGAGGCGGTACAAGGGCGTCCGTGTCTGGGCAGAACAGAATGAAGCGGGGGAGGGGGGTAACTAGTATAGAAGTTGTACAAAAGTGTTGTCGTAACTTTCAGAGAGCAATTCAGCTGTTCGATTTTTAGAAGTTGTGATTGTGTGTTGTTACTCCTCCAATCACGTCAATTACGGTCAAAATAAAGAATTTATTTTCATACACAGCTTTCCCTTATAATAGTTTCAATAATAATAAGCAGTGATTACCTTGGCCTGAAAATCAATTGCATTTGTTACTATATGGGTGGTTTAAATATAAAACCCATTGCGTATGAAGACGCATTTAAATGAAGATCGTTAACCTCTATGATTTAACACTAAAAATTGTTATCGTGGCCAATTTGAGCGCTTGCAATTGTGTCACAACGATTTACTCTGCATCCAGTTGAAAAAGGTCGCTGCGAGCTGGGGACATGAGCGCGTGAATAAAACAAGAAAATTTCCTTCTTACAAATGCCTCAACCCCACTGAGTGCGTGGGGTGTTAGGCAAAACAAGTGCTCAACTTAGAGTCAAGCCTGAACCTTTTGTATCTTAATAAACAAATACATCGTTGATTTTCTAGTCTAAACAGAAATACAGTGCCTACGCCCTTTTAGTTCTGCCCGTCGATCTCCAGCTGCAGGGTTCGTTCAGAGCTTCGGGGTCGATATGAGACGGTGTGCAAAATATCATTGTTAACAACGAATGCTGCCGGTTTAAATACCATGGTTCATTTTTCTGTGGTTTAGGTCGTTCAACAATATCTGTCTACTGAACATTGCTTACGATACTTTTTGCCTACTCATATGATAGCAAAATTAAATATGTGTCCAGACATACCCTATTCAAGTGTGCAACGTAATATATATTCTGCCTGTTTCTATATACTATATAGAGAAGATGCGAATAATGTCAGATTCGACATCCATATGATGATATGTGTTCGACTAGACAGCTAGAATTTCTCTGCCGGTATGCTGTTATTATACATTATCACTAGCTGTTTGTAAAGTTCGTCTGCTAAGCATTCTGGGGGCCATCCTTTTTTCCTGACGTTGCCGTTTACCCATAGTCAGCACTCAGAAAGTAATTATTTTTAAAGCTGAATCGAATTTTTGATCAAATCAAGCTGAATTGCCTAGTCGTACTAAGTGGTCGTTGATGAAGCGAAAAACGCGCGAGGTGATATCACAAAAGCGGCCAAAATGGGTTTGCGTCCATCGACTGCAGATATTCATAGCAGTTTCAGCCCGCTGAATTTTGTTGACGAACAGCTAAATAGCACGCTAGCATTGGCGACTCTTGCCACACAAATATTGGCCAGTAAGCTCAGTTTGGCATCATTTGAGGTTTTAACTTATTCGAAATCGTCTCCAGACAGTCATTAATCCGGTTTCGGCAACGGGCTGGGTTAGTTCAATTCATTGTACAGGATCGTATATACATAAAATACTACTAAATACACTGCCCGCAACCGTCTTTAGCGTACAGATTTCTTTTAGCGGCTTTATATGTGATTTGTCTGTTTTGATCGATAACCAGTTACAGATCGATAGCAAATACAAAATCGTCACTGATTCGATGGAGATGTTTGAAGTTCATGTCTGGAATTAGCTAGCGTTTCTGATAGTGAATAGTTGTCGATAGTTACTTCTTATTTCCGCAAACGTCTCCTTAGCTAAAGACCTGCTTAAGATGTACGTCATTTGGATTGTACTTTCCGCTCTGAGCTTCATGAGGAAGAATTAGAGACGAGCTATTATTACCTGGAGAAGGCAATAAGGTCAACGAACACATGGAAAGCTCTGATCTCTCGAAGTTCGTTAGTTTTTGCCTGTCTATATCCACTGCATGTTCGGTGGCTGCAGACAATTAATAGACGGCGAATACTGGTAGAGTGCCTCGGGCTTTCTACATCCAAAATCATTTTCTGTGATTTTTACTGATCCGGCCAATCGTAATACCGACAACAGGTCATGGACCCTTCTTCTTTTCGATTGCTGCTCGCCACCTTGCTTGACGTTGACTTCCCGGCTCACATTGCGTAAATCTAGCTTTGGAGTTACTCATAAGACGGGCAGACAGACAGACAGACAGATACTTACGCGAAGGGGCAAAAGCTACGGCCTGCCTGTCTACCCGAAAGTTTGGCTGTGCATAGCTTTAGCCGTATTTTCTGTGTTCACGGCGCTTATAGGAACGAGCGATAG